CGGGAAGATCCCCTGGAGGAGGACATGGCAACCCACCGCAGTATTCTTGCCTGAAGAATCCCACGGACAGAGGACCCTGGTGGGCTACAGTCCATGGGGTGGCAAAAAGTCAAACGCAGACTGGGTGCCTGACATGTTCACTCTCATGTAAATCCTTCTTAGGAGAAGCCCCGGTGGGCTGGGACCCTAGTATTGCTCACTTGTCTGCTCCTCACTTCACGATCAGTGTCTTAAAGGGAGAAATTGCGCTGCTGTCCTCTCTGTCTCTGCTCCTGAGCCTAACACACACAGCATGCAGTGACAGCCACTGGACTTGTGGACACCGTCACGCCCAGTCTCGAGCAGATCCGGCTGATGTGGGAAAGTTGAAAGCACACTTGGTTGGCCCTCAGTAAGACTCGGATTCAGAGCGCACCTGCCACCCCTCCTCGGTGTATGTCCCCAATTCAAACTCTCAGAGACTCAGTCTTTTCCGACACAAGGTGGGGATGTTGATATCAACTCACAGGGTTGGGATAGCTATCAGAGACCATATGGACTAATATAAAGGACCTGGGACCTCAAGAGGCTCAATCAGTGGAAAATTTCCCAGGGCCATGAGGTGTGAGACAGAGATATATCCTGTTCCTGTGTAATTATTAAAAGCGCACCTCGGGTCCCTGCTCAGCCCTGACACCTCTGCCGCCTTCTCCCTCGCCACGTCCAATGGAGGGCTACTTTGTTTAAATCTGTCATTATGGCCTCCTCTTGAAATGTTGGTTTGTGGTGGGATATATGCATACATAAGTCAGAAGGAAGGTGCAGACTTGGAGTGTCAAAGCGATGATTAAACCCTTGGAGATGACAGAACCCTGAGGGGTCCTTTCTGTCCGAGGCATGATCCTCATCACAGCTACCCCCCTGCCTGCCCTGGCTTTGGATCTCCAAGGGACCCCAGACTCATGTCAATTTTATGAACAGCTGAATCGAGAGTGACCTTTTACTGCAGCAGAAGCATTAAAAGGAGATTACAGGACCAAACCTGCAGAGCAGCCACGCTCTAAAATCCCCCTTTTTGAAAATGGCAAAGCTGCTGGAATTTTGCCAGGAGAACCCCACCGAAGCAAGGGGAATGAATAAATAATCATTCGGGGCATCTTGTCTTTCTTTGTTTGTGCTCTTAAGGACCAAGACAGCAACCACTGATTAGAAAAGATTTTATGCTTCTTTTTACTGTTCAAAATAATATTGTTCTTTCCTGTTTAGCCCTTTTCAACCTCTTTCCTTTCACAGGGTGTCCTAACCTTTATCTTTTCCTGGTTCTGCTGCTTTTCATCTTGCCATTTTCATTGTTGTCACTCATTTTCTTCCCTTTAAACATTTCCCTTTTGGTCCAGAGTAGATTTTCATTCTGAGTAGCAAGGTATTCACCGATTTACCTTAGTCATCATCCTGTTTTGTATTGCCACAAACTTCTTTCCGTTCCATGCTTCTCTCCACCCCACCTACACTTTCATCTCCTCACCCACCCCCTTCCTCTTATTTTCCATCTGACATTGTTTTGGAGAAGACCTCTTCAGTGTATACCCATCCTTCTTAATGTCAGGTCCTGCTCAGGAAAGTGAAAGTGAAGTCGCTCAGCCATGTCCGACTCTTTGCAGCCCCATGGACTGTAGCCCACCATGCTCCTCCATCCATGGGATTTTCCAGGCAAGAGTACTGGAGTGGGTTGCCATTTCCTTCTCCATGAATTGCCCCCCTAATGCAGTGGGAAGCATTGATTCAGCTCCCAGAAGAGTCACAAAAGTTTGCATATTAAGAGTGAAACTAGCCTCAGATACACAGAGACCCCATAAATATCCAGATGTGACAGCATTCCGGGGTGGCCTGACATGCCTGTGTGTGGCTTTGTGACCAGACGTGTTCCTTGTGCTTGGGACTCAGGTGATGTATCATCTAACTCCTTACGGTCTTTTCAGTGTTTTAAAAGTAAAAGAGTGTGCTATTTTCTTAAAACCTTGTTACACTTGTGTCACTGCTTTTCTTTACCATTCACAGGGCAGATAGAAGTTCTGTCCACTAATGATGAGACAGACCTTGTTCTCAGATAAAGCTTCCAAGTACCAAGGGTGCCCCAGGAGAGGCTAGTGTTTACTGCCTTGTTCCCAATTAACCTTGGGATTCTGTGGCATTCCTCATGCCTGCCAAGCAGATTACGGCTTAGTGGTGGTGAGAAACTCTGCCAGTGCCAATGTTTTGCATAACAGACTTGTGTTGGCTCAGTGGGGGGAGCCCCCTCTCCAGCAGACAACATATTTTAGCAGAGCATGTGTGCCTGAGCACATGGGCTTGGGTACACACACACACACACACACACACGGCTTCTCCTCTGCACAATTTGCTCACGATGATTAGAAAACTCTGCTCACTTAGGTGTAATTCGGTCTGATGTTGAGGCTTGAGTGACTGAATAAGAGGATCTTTTGCTTAGCTGAGCGTTTACAAATACCCACCGAGATGGGCAGGCATTCACTGAGACCTCAGCATGAAGAGCCTGGAATCCTAGGCCGGCAGAGAGGCCAAGAGGTTGCCCTTGTTAATGCCTGCCTGATGCCCGCAGCCCCTCTCCCTGCCAGGTCCCCACGAAGCCCGCATTGATGCTGTGGATGCTGCTAGCTGCTGGAAGCTCCAGCACTGCAGTGTGAACAGAATTTCAATCCACTAGCTGGTTCCAGTTCTTTTCATGGTAGCAACTCTTATTCTGACCAGACTCTTTCAGGAAAGAGCAAAGAGGTCTCTAGAACACTTAGCTGTTTCTCCTCCTCCTCCTCCGTGTCCTCCGGACACCGAGAGTGTGGTGACAAGGGCAAGAAGAGAGTCAGTTCTCCGGCGCAGCCATTGAGGACCACAGGATGGAATGAGCCTCAAAAAGTCAAAACCAGAAGGAATGTACCATCATGCCATTCAAGTTTGGGTATTTATCCAAAGGAAACGAAAACACACAAAAACCCATCCACATCCCTTGCTCATTACCACATCGTTCACAACAGCCAAGACATGGAAACAACCTAGTGTTCATTGATGGATGAGTGCGTTAAAAAGATGTCACATGCATGTATATACAAATGGAATGTTATTAAGCTATAGAAAACAATGAAATCCTACCATTTTTAAGCACCTAATGAATGAAACAGTAGAGTAGGTGGAGATAGAGACTGCTTGGGAGTGATTAGACTATTGGAATGACTTTCAGAGAAAGGACATTGCAGGAAATTGAACTTGACCTGCTCAAAATGCCCCTCCAGTGCTGGAAAGTCTTTTAATTCTAGACCACAAAACTGTCTAGGAATAGAAGAGGGAAGGAGGAGCTCTACCTAGGTGGAAAGAGAAGCAGTAAAATCATTGAGAAGCACAGCTGTCAAGTTCATGTTGGGTGACTACACTTGACAACTTCTATTTACCCGAAGGACCGGGGACAGATCCACACCTTATCAGGAAGCGGAACCACGTGGCAGTGTTTCCTAGCTGGGAGTCTTCATGTCTGGGTCACCACTGGTGCATTAGGAAAAGGATTCCCTTCCCATATATTATTCTTGAGTATCAACTCATTTAGGGAGAGGTACTTTTTTTTTTTTTTAAATTTCCCACCATCATGAAAGTTTTAAAGGCTCAGAGAATGTTTGCAGAATGAAATTGGGTTGAGTGGGATCTGACCAGCAAGTCTATCATAGCAGATGAACCAACACATTCATCCTTGGCCTTTGAAATGTGAAAGGAGGTTTAGATGGAAAATCAGAAGAACACAGATTGTTCTTTACCTTCTTCCACTGAACAGTGTTTTCCTGAGAAGGATATTCAGCTGACCTTGTTGTTTCAGTAACCCTTAGGAGCCCTGGAAGAAGGTGGCTGGCATGTCCGGAAATGTTCTGGAAGAGGGAGCAGGTCTTCTCTGCGGTAGCCCTCCCTCGATCTGAGAAAATGATTTCCACCCAGATGGATTGGAGACAGCTGTGCCCCGCCTGATCCGGGGCTCTCTCCTTTCTGTTTCCTAAGCCTTCTTTCCCTTTGCATCAAGTAAAATTTCCGAGACTCACCCAGGACCAGCCATGCTTAGAAAAGTGGTCAAACTCATTGTATTTAATATCCTGTGATAAACCATAATGGAAAAGAATATATATAATATATATATGGAAAGAAAAATATATATATGAATTACTTTGCTATACAGCAAAAATTAATACATTATAAATCAACTATACTTCAATAAAATAAAATTAAAAGTGGCAAAACTTACTATATTCAATATCCTGTGATAAACCACAGTGGAAAAGAATAGGGAAAAATCGTGTTGGGTTGGCCAAGAAGTTCATTCCATAGCATCTCTCTCTATATATATATATATGTATGTATATATATATGAATATAGATAGATATAGATATGCATGAGTGCATGCTAAGTCGCTTCAGTCCTGTTCAACTCTGCAACCCTATGAATTGTAGCTCACAGGGTCCTCTATCCAGGAAGGAAAAGTAAAAAACAAGGCAAAACTCCCCTCTCCAAACACCAAATATCTGAGTCATGAAAAAACCTTGCATTTATATCCTAGAAGTTTCTTGCAAGGCTTCTGTTTCAACACTGTATCTGGCACTGGAGTGATAGTAAATGAGATGATTGGCATAACGCCTTCAGATCTTTATTTATAAGGGATGCTGGAATTCGCTGCATCTTCCCGAGCAGGGTGGACACACAGCGTCCTGGTCCCTTACTGCCACCCATGGGCTGGGCCACAGATGCCGAGCTGGGCTCTGTCAGTGCGGGGGACCAGACCCCACTCCCAGACCCCAGATCCGGCAGGGCCACCGGCTGGGGGGCCGCCCACCTGGGGGGCCAGGGTGTTTGCGGTGCCCGGAATGTCTCCCAGTCACCCCCATCTTATTAATGCTTCAGTGTAGCATAAAGCCTCATTCATTATTCATAATAATCCAGTCAGAGGGCACCCGGAGACCTGATAAATTCTCACCTCAGTGACAACAGCTGACAGGGCCCGGGGTTTTATAGCCCTCCTCCTGCCTCGGCAAGGTGCGCTGGGCAAAGGTCCACCGCCATCCGCTGCTAATGACCAGGCTGATATACGAGCCGCCGCTGGTTTCCTGACATCAAGGCCCGTCGGCTGAGGCCCCCACCTGCAAGCCGGGGGCAGAGATGAGCATCTGTCAGGCTGGAAAAGGCAGAAACAGGCCAGGGCGCGGGCAGGAACGGGTTAACTCAGAGCAGTTGTTGGGGGAGCAGGAGCCCAAGGCTGGGAAGAAACACAGAGAAGCCAGGCCCTGACCCTACCACCAAACTGGGGTAGATTTGGGATTGTGTCCACAGGCTCGAAGGGGCCAGGTCCTCAGTTGTGCAGACTCTATTCTTGCTGGCATCCCGAGGGCTGAGTGATGATTTTTAAGATCTGGTGAGCTGGCTTATAAACATCAATAATAAGATTTTGAAGAACATGAATTGCAGTCTTCATAAAGGGCAGACACTTTGGAATATCGGGTTGGTTTTCGAAGTCATCTTGTCATCACAGGATGTGAAGGGAAAGTTATTTGCTCTTGTTCAAACAGAACTTACCTTTTTTTAAAAAAAAAAAATCTTCTTAGTGTTTAATGAAGGCCGAGTTTCAGTTTAGAAAGGTGAAAAATTCAAGAGTTGGATAATGGTGAGAGCTGCACAATGTGAAGGTGCTTAATTCCACTTAAGTGTACACTTAAATATGGTTAAAATATGTTTTTAGCATATTTTTATGTTAAAATATGGTTTTATATTGTGTGACTTTCATCACAATAAAAAATTAAAAAATTTTAAGTTGACGTATATGGCAACCCACTCCAGTATTCTTGCCTGGAGAGTCCCATGGACAGAGGAGCCTGGCGGGGTACAGCCCACGGGGTCGCAGAGTCAGACGCAACTGAGTGGCTTCACTTCATACTTGATTCACAATATCATGTTAGTTTCAGGTACACAACACAGTGACTCAGCTCTATCTCTATATATACATATATATAATTCTTCTTTTTCAGATTTTTTCCCTTATAAGTTATTATAAAACATTGACTAGAGTTCCCCATGAGACCTACTTTCTTAGAAGGACATTTATCTTCCTCTCACTGTTGCAAATCCAATCACGTATAGGTACAATTGTTAGCGTTTTCCCTTGGCTCTTTATATCAAGAGTGCTGACCACTATGAAGATTTTCTTGATTCACATTTTTTCTTATCGTTTTCACATGATGTGTGTTTGTGTAGCTGTCTTGATTTTCAACCTTCCGGAGATTTTTCTGGACTTAGAAATTGGATGCAAGAAAGTGAGATATAGCAAACAGGGTAGAGTTCTAGGAAGAAACTGTTCAGTTCTGGCTGGTCAAGATGCATCTACACTATATTTCTAATAATAACAGGGGTTTCCCTCATGGCTCAGTCAGTAAATAATCGGCCTGCAATGTAGGAGATTACTTGCAATAGAGGAGACCTGGGTTTGATCCCTGGGTTGGGAAGATCCCCTGGAGTAGGAAATGGCAACCTACTCGGGTATTATTACCTGGGAAATCTCATGGACAGAGGAGCCTGGTGGACAACAGTCCATGGGGTCAAGTGCCGTACACAACTTAGCGACTAAACCAACCAATACTAATATATTTTATCTTAATATTTAGTTAAGTATGTGTATTTAAAAGGAGCTGTTCATGAAGACAGTTCATTTCCACTCAGCAGATCTCCTTAAGATGGGAATGTTTCTAAATACCCTTGACTTTTGGCCTACCCTGTCATTGACTTCTCCCTGGAGAAGGCAGAGTGAATTGGCTGTTAATTCGGGAGGAGGAGGCAGGCGTGTGACCCTCAGTCCTGTATTCTTCTCTCCTTCCAGGAGCCTGCCTTTCTCAGCAAGCTGCTGTCTGGCTGGGTCTTCCCTGAAGAAGAGTTTGCAGGGAGCAGACCTAGCACCTCAGAGAGGTCTGAGCCTGGGTTTCAGTAGGCTCTGTACTGGGAAGCCCTTGACAGCAGAACTAAGCAACATCTTCCAACTCAAATCTCCATCTATAACAAAGCTGATATTTTAATTTCTTTGTGCATTGCTCTTTGTTTACTGTTGGGCTTAGAATTCAAATGGTGAAAACAGTAGTAGTATTTATTAGTTGTTCTCAAAACCCCAACAGCATCTGTATTATGAATGGCCATTTACAAGGAATGGGGCAGCACCCCAGGGATATAATTCTGTCCGTTTAGTTGATGAGTTACCACTGAAGATGTGTCTTTCTGATAACTAGTAGACATGTGCATTTGGATTTAAATGTTACTTAAATTGGGGTAACGAACTCACCAGGAAAGCAACTGAAGAGTAAAGAGTTCTCAGCTAAAGACTGAAGTCTATCTATAATCCTCCAGGCAGCGTTCTGCAGGCCATTGTTTTTTCTACTTCTTATGATCTTCATGTGTCAGACATGATTTCTGTTATATTCTTGATTCAGCTTTAGGAGTAAAGGCTTATTTTTGATCATTTTTATACTGTATCTTATTTGGACATAGAATCTATGTGAAAAATATTCCAGGACCACAAAAAGCAACAAAATGGTTGAAAGCTCTGAACCCTGGCACCAAGCAATAGATTTCTTTTTTCCCCCTGTGGTTAGTATACTACTGAGCACATAGAAAATCTCTTACAAGTAAAAGTTGATTTTTATATTCATAGTTCAGTATACAAGGAAGGAGCTATAATCTATCTCCTCTCTCTGATTAGGATGATATCCAAAAAAAAAAAGCCGCTATCGCTTCCTTTGCTCTGCTCTGATAAGGAAGATGTGGAATCTGTTTCCTCTCTCTTTGAGTCTGGAATGGCCTTGTGACTTTCTTTGACCATCAGATGTGGTCAGTGTAAGGTTTGTGCCAGGGGGTCTGGGACTGGCCTTAACGAAGCTTTATTGGACGTTATTACCTACAAAGGTGAGTTACTTTTCTATGTGTTTGAGTTTTAAAGCACCAACTAAGTTACACACTTGTCAAAGGTGAGGACTATTCCTCTTTGTGCATCCTCAAAGCCCAGTTAAGAGTTTGTGAATTGCCGAGAAGGCCCTGGTGGAGTGGTGGTTAAGAATCTGCCTTGCGATGCAGGGGACGTGAGTTCCACCCCTGGTCAGGGAACTAAGAACCCATATGTGCCAAAACTGCTGAGCCCATGTTCGCTGGGGCCCAAGCACTGCAACTAGAGTCCCGTGTACCTCGACAAAAGATCCCACATGGCGCAACGAAGATACAACCAAGACTGGATGCAGCAGATAAGTAAATAAATAAATACTTTAAAAAGAGTTTGTGAATTGTAAGCATTCAGTAAATCTGACTGTTAATCATTGGTTACTGAAAGTATTTTATATTTTTTTCATCTTAAAAGTGCATCATCAACTGCTTATCAAAATAATTGGTAAGAAATTTGAGAATAAGCAATCTGTCCCATATCTTCTCCCAATATCCCAATCAGCTGAGATATTAATGCATTCAGTTAAAAATATTTTTAAGCATATTCAAATTTCATTCTTAATACCATTTTCAAAGATTTTTGTCTAAGACTTTTATTTCTGCTTGTTGCTTTATTTTTATACCAAAAAAAGACAAACCTTGAGTGCTCTGGAGAGAAGAGAGACTATTGAAAGCATAAGGGAGTATTCTTTGCTTTTAAAGTTTTTATTTATTTTTAAATTTTTAAAATGTATTTATTTTTATCAGTCTAGTTGCTTTACAATGTTGTGTTAGTTTCTGCTGTAAAACAAAGTGAATCAGCCACACGTATACGTATATTCCCTCTTTTCTGAATTTCCTTCCAATTTAGGCTACCACACTGAATAGAGTTCCCTTGGGTACTGAAGGTTCCCAGTAGTTATCTATTTTATACGTGGTATGTATATAAGGGAATCTTCTTGACAAGGATATTTTACTGCTAAAAATAAGTTAGGTAACCAATCATACACTTCAGTGGAGAAATCACTGATTGCTTCTGATAGATGCTCTGTAGGTAAATGTTTTGCACAGAATTCTGGAGGCTTCTGGCCTTTTGGTGGAGAAAGGAGACGACACACTGCTGGTACACATGTGTTTTAATTCCCTTCAGAATTTTTATAGCCCCTCTGTCCCCTCAGGGCCTGAATAAACACATTAAACAGGATAATTCTCTTTCTCATTCCACCCTCTCCCTCATTTACTAGGCTAATTAATTTATTTTAATCAGGAAAACTGCATTCTCTTTGAGTTGGGGCCCCAGGCCCTCTGGAAATTCTTGTTTTTTTTTTTTGAATTCTTGTTTTCAACTGTTTCCTTGAGATTTTCTGGCCTCACAGCAGCATCTTTGGTCTTTTTTCTGAGTGCGGGGGAAATGTGTCTTATGTGGGGAAATTCTATCCCTTCAGAATGTCAGTAGGAAAAAATAAAAAGTTCTCCTGTTGTGGAAGTAATGTCTAAAAGCATTTGAGGAAGAGTTTTTACTGGAATTTCCTAGAAGAAGTGCGTGGTCTTTCTGCCGGGGGTTGTCGCTGTGCTGAGGGCATTGCTGCAGTCTGGAAAGAAAACCTTTGAGCTGAAGCTAAAAATCCAAAGCAGCGTTGCTTGGGCTCTCCAGAACTCAGACTTGAATAATCACACACGAGGATCCCAACCACACAGACTAACACACACTTGAGCCGTCACTGGGTGGCTTTCTGGACATCCACCGCAGACAAGACGGTGCGTTGGAAGGTCCCTACCCTCAAGAAAGGGCTGAAATGTGCAGGGTCCTCACAAGGCACCTTTGGTTTACTGTGCTTCCTCTTCGTGGCTTGTTTATTATGAGCCGCCTCTCCCATCTCATCATTGATGGCAGAAGTTCATCTTCTGTGGGTACTGAGTGGACCCAGACTTTCATTTCAAATCCCACAACACAGAGAGATAGAATGAATAGAAATATTTCTCTTTCAAAGTCCCTGGCCCTGCCCGCAGGTGCAGAGGGGGCTGGGTTCATTTTCCTTCATCAAATCAACTACAATGTCTGAACATAAATCCACACCCGAGTTCCTTTCATGGCAGGTCCTAAGTACAGTTGTTCACACTTTTTGTTCGGGGGTGGGGGTCACTTTCTCAGAAAAGTCTCATTTTCCCAGTCCTTGCCTTGGGCTAATAG